CCCATGGTAACTTCCATCAAACTCATTAACATTATTACTAATCAGACCATGATGTGTACACTATTAGTTTTTGAAAGGAAGCAGAGGGTTTTACTTTACCTTTGGTCATTTTATGGATAATGATGGATTTTAAAGGTAAGCATGTTTTTGCATCAAGGACATTTTATTTAAAACACATGTTTATTACAGATTGCTTTACAGAATTCTTCTTTTTTTAAGTAAAACTAGTGAACTATAACTATAACTATAGAACATGTATGCCACTATATGCCATTCAGCAGCAGAGGAGCTCAGTAATAGCATACACGTTTGTCAAAAAGCTGCTCCATACCTGGAAAATCCCAGGTTCAGTCCCTGCTGCGTCCATCAGCAGCCAACTAGAAACACACTGCACCATAGGAATGTGGACAGGTGAATGCCAAATATGTAAGCCCCTCATTCTGGCACGTCTGTAAAACAAAGAAATACTGAAAATGTCCCCTTTAACCTGACAACTTCACCTCAGCTTCATGTAGTGGGCAATGGAGGTTTTTGTTGATTTCTTTTGCATCTTGTAGCAATGAAACTGAAAATGGGAGCAATTACAAGTCAGATCATGCATTTCTGTGTTCTTCATCTCTTTGTTGTTATTATTATTATTATTATTAATAATTGTATAGTATTAAAAATATCATTGAACTATGTTATTGTTTTGCTCTGTTTCATTTAAATTAGAGTCATCACAATGTAAATTTGTCAATAAAACAATGTACTTTTTCCCCCTTGAGTGTAGCTGTGACAATGGCTTTTTGGTTGGATTTACACAGGCACATAGATCTTTAACCCAGTGAAACCTGTATCTAAGGGTTCAATATGTTCTGTTTAAAAATCCCGTTTTCTGTCCCTGTGAAAACAGTCTCTCATTTGTGTCTCTGAGACGTGTGGCACCTTTTGTACTCAATTAAAGAATGGTACGGTTTTTATCATGACTGTATGGTCTATGGAAGGCACTTTCTTTCTCTTTTATGCAATGGTGTTCTGTTGTTCTAAATCAGAGAGCGTATTGTATGCCGTTAGTTTGTCTCATTTAACATAATTTACAAGTAACATTTTCCCAGGCCTAAACTGAAAGTCTTTGACCAATGTGGCACATTGTGTTTGCAAAACACTCCAGGTCTTAAATATGATTTTGACAAGTCTCAAAAGTGATTGGATGAATGAAGTTAATACTATTTAAAGTTGCATTTTTTTGTCTTACTTTTAAATGTGATGTCAATGAACTGGTTCAGCCTTACTTTGTGCTATATGCCTGTGCTTTTATAGTATGTGCCAAAAAAGGCAAGCGAGCATCTCATAGCATGAATTCTTTTCTCCAAAGATCAGTCCCTCCAGAAAGTTGTGGTTACAACAATAAACTTTAAATTCAAACAATGTCTATGAATTCTGCGCAACCTACCGCAGCCTTGAGGTGCGTTAGACATTCTGATTTCTGCAGGTAAATTCTACCAGCTCTTTTTTGAAAAAGGATTTGAAACCAATGAAAAAGCAAGATAAGACTCCTGCCGTGCTCAGAAGGTGATGATGTGAAGATCAAGTGGATCACAGCTTCATTGACAAGTGTGTCAGTAGAGAAAAATGAATATGGTCTAATCCAGTTATAGATACTTCTAGCCAACAGTAGCTAGCATTAAATGGTACAAAAGCATACACAAAAATGCTAAGGAAAACCGTAACTAGCATTAACAGACACAAAGAATGCATTATGGAGAAACTGAAAGCCACTAAGTTATTTTATATGTTAAAGTTTAAATACATGCTTGAACCAAAGCAAAATATAAATAGTAGACAGGATTAAAGCTGCTGTAGATAACTTTAATAAAAATAACTGCTGAAATGTTCACTATATCCTGACAGTAATCCATTATTTAAATAATCAGGTATAGGGTTTATAATGGCATTTGAAAGACCTGAATGAAAACATCCAATCAGAGCCAAGAAAGATAGTTGACTGTGCAGTATCATTCCCAGGTTGTGAAGTACCAGTGCAGTTAATGAGACTCAACAATCATCAATATCTTCAAGCCACTGACCCAAAGCGTCTTTCTATCTTTCTGTGCTCAGGATGGTTGTTTTTTATAATTATTCTTATAAAATGTGCCTACTACAGCTTTAAGTGGCAGAACAAATTCAGATTGAACCATGGCTTGATTAAACATAAAACAAAGGCTTTGTTCAAAACAGGAAACAAGAATACATAAGCATGTATGACAGTATAGGCTCTGTTAGAACAGAAAGAAAAGATATAGACCAGGTTGCCAGAGCCATACAGTGTGGCTTAACAACTGCAGCCAGACGCTTCAGAACCAGGTTTATTTTCTTTACCTATCACAATTTGCCTTATTTTGATGCAAAAACATAAGATTAAAGCAAAATAAAAGTATTGCGTCAAGAATCATATTATAAAACAAGAATTCACAATCTCTGTTTTTAAAATAAAAAGCTGTACAGTGTTTGAAAGAGGGTGGAACGTACAAAATATTGATGAAGGAATGTGCAAATGTTCACAGTATGCGTATAATCATGTGAAGTGAGAGAATAATCCAAGAAATGTGCATTAATGTGAGGCACCGAGTCAGATGTAATCCACCAGGTCACCAGATGATCAATCTCCCCCCTGCAGGCAGACTCACCCCCCCGGAGCTGAGCCCGATGAGGATGCAAACTTCGGCTTGTTCTAGTTTTTAGAAGTTTCAGTAATTAATTTTAAAGTATAGAGTTATTTTTCCAGAAAAGTTCAGAATAAATATTAAAAAAACATCGACTCACCGTCTCAATGAACAGCATTTATAATGGCCGATAAATGAATATTTTGAGGTGTCAAACTTACGCCC